AAAAAAAAAAAAAAAAAAAAAAAAAAAACACATCATAATAAAACCAATACCTTCTCAGCTTCGCATCGAAGCTAAAATTATAACTACATCGGTTGGGATATAGCAGCAAATAAGATAATAAAGGATTCATCAAATGTGAGCTATGTCTGCAATACTGTGTAATTTTATAACATACATTATTAATAATTTATCTTTCCATGAATTAATTTATTTATTCTATCTAAATAAACAATCTATGTTATTACATTTTTACATGTTATGAGACATTATCATTCACCTTTATATTTTATTTTAATAGAAAAGTAATGATTATTTATATTTATTAATCAATTTGAACTATAAAATAAATAATTACTTTTTACATAATTCAATTATTCAATCAAAATAACAATTGAACTACTTTGATGAATTCAAAAAAGAACACTTTTGAATTCCAAATTGAAACTTGAATGATGTTAAATCGTATATGTAGGTAAACTTTTTTTGTAGAAATTATTTTCATTGTATAAATATTAATAGCAATGAATAATAATTAAAATAATTTACACTTATACTCATACTTTATAGAGTAATATAATTGTATATAATATAGTAATAATACTGTACAAAAGTACAGTATTAAATTAGTAATTTATATGAAATTAGTAATTTTATATCTAAAAGAATTTAATATATCGTACTATCAATACAACAAAATCGTATCACAAAAAATAAGATTTTAATATTCTGGTGTAACTGAAATTATTTTATTATTATTTATATAAAAAAGATGGTACTCTCTAAAAATTTACATGACTATTTGTAATACAAAAGTAACTCTTATTGGAAGTTAAAACTTTGCAAAGTTATGACGGTATTGGTTTTATGATGGTATGCGTATTTTTATATCAGTGCATAAAAGTTCTCTGCTCTCACTGTTCTCATTTTAATTTAAAGCTTTTTATGAGTACTTAATGATAAAAAAAAACTTATTGAGGTTTTAACGTTTATTACCCGTCAAAGTAAAAAAATCGCAATAAAAAAAAAACATTCATTTGGACAATTTTTTTTAAGCTTTTGGTTTTAAGCGTTAAACAGATTCGCATCGAAACATTTTATTATGATAGTGATGTTAATTACTGAAAGATATCATTTTAGTTTGTCCCAACTACGACACGTCCTTAATGCACTGTTTTTTATTAGAATTCTATAAAATCTGACAGTGATTAAAATCACTGTCATAAACCTCTTCGATGAGTAGAAGAAACGATTTTTAAAAATTTAACATATTTACCAAAAACAATATGATTTTTGACTTAATAGTTTTTTTTACACATAGAAAAAAATTCATGGCAACAATTTTAATTTTCATATATTGCATTTAATAAGTTTTAATTTGAAATAATTTAGAATGATATCATTTTAAATTATAATTAGTAGCGTAATGCTTACATATGTAAGCATTCTGTTACTATGAAAATATAACGAAATTGTCTAATTTAACAAATAATTATATGATTTTTCGCTTTAATGACCAATTTTTTTCATTTTCTTCACGTTAATCCCAACTACTTAGGTTCGGCCACCCTTATCCTAAACTTCCATTTGACACGATCTACCACATCATCTACACTCATATCAGCTGTCCTCATATTGAATTCAATAACATCTCTCCATCTCTTTTTTGGTCTTCCTCTACCTCTTCTTCAAAATTTATTTCTTTAACTGTTCTTACAGCTTCAACAAGAAAGAAGAGCGTAGAATGAGTGTAGTATAAATTGTTCTACAGAAAAAAATCCAGTCCTTGATGAACTTGAGTAAGCTTAAAAAATTTGTAATTTTTATTATGTTTTCAATTCATTTGATCTAAGATAAGTTTATTAATTTCAGTTTTATTTTACGTGTCTGCTATTAGTTGGTTTTGTATTGTCGTTATCTGTATTTTCAAGCATACACTAGTTAGTAAAATATGAAACTTAAATGAAATAAGTTCAATTTTTGAATATATTTCTGTTATTACAGCTAGATTATTTTTAATGTATTTTTATTCTCATAGCTTTAGTTTAAAATGTAACAAATCATTGTTCTATAAAAAAAAATTCAAATGTGTTAAGAAGTTTC